TTGATTTCATCAGGGAATGACAAGAATCACTGAAATTCTGGACATGGTTGGGTAATATTGGACCTATTTCTTGTTTTCCCTGCACCTGCAGCCACTTCCCAAATTCCAAGGCCTTGGCTTTTTTACTTCTGAGTAATATAACAAATGCAAAGTTCTAATGAGGGGAGTGTACATGTGAAATGAGGACAGCTCAGCTTTTCCTTGAACACAAGGCCTAAAACTAGACAAATCCAGGGAGAAGAGGTTTGAACCCATAGCTCTGTTGGTTGATGCTGCCTTTATACCATGGCCCTAGTTTACCTGCATGAGTTAAATAAACATGATGTCAATATAGTACATTAAATGTGGTTATATAAACCCAATTTACAGACAATATGTTCAGGAGTGGCTATCAGTCACCATTTCTTTACTTATATATTCAGCTTCTTCTTTCTCTCTCTCTCTCCATATGTTTTCTCTTTAGCTGATGCCATATTTTGTTATGGAGATATTTGAAACTATGCCTGGACTTCCAGGAATTTTTGTGGCTAGTGCTTTTAGTGGAACGCTGAGGTTAGTATATGGATGGACAAAAGATGATAATGATGATGATGAAGAAGATGATGATGATGATGATGATGATGATGATGATGATGATGGTAAAACAAAGAGTGACGATGCTAAAGATTAACTGGAACTCCTTAACTGATCTACTCACTACTTTGCTTAAAAGTGATGTCAGGCAGCACGTGAGAAAGATTACTGTTGGACGTGCTGGTGGCTCATGCCTATAATCCTATCTACTCAGGATGCTGAGATCTGAGGATTACAGTTCAAAACCAGCCTGAGCAGGAAAGTCTGTTAGACTCTGATCTCCAATAAACCACCAGAAAATTGGAAGTGGCAGTGTAGAATGATAGAATGCTCTTCTTGAGCTGAAGAGCTGAGGGATAGTGCCCAGGTCCAGAGTTCAAGCCCCATAACTGAAAAAAAAAGATTACTAATATTATCATTATTACTAATATTATCATATTTCTTCAGCTTAGGATCCTGAGACTTTAGTAGATTTCTTCTCCATGATAAGTTAATAAATTGTGAAGCAGGATATAAGCATAGTTTTCCTTCTAAATCTAGACCTTTCCTCTTATTATCATAATATTTTCAAAACAATAAAATGCAATGTAAGAAGGTATATGTTGGTTTTGAGTTATGGAGATTTCAGTCCATGAACAAGCTCCATTATTTTGGATCTGTCAGCAGTAATTGTACCATATTGAGGGAATATGACAGGGCCTGATGTTCTCCCTTGGCCTTTTCTCCAAAAGCTGATCCTTTACTATTTGAGCCACATTGCTATTTCTTGCTTTTTGCTGGTTAAGTTGAGATACAGGTCTCATAGCCTTTTCTGTTCAGGCTAGCTTCTGGTCATGATCCTCAGAGCTAGGCCTCTTGAATATCTAGGTGTGAGCCCATAACACCACACTTTTCAAAGTTTTAACTTTGTTCAAATCAACAAATGTCTTTTAATTTTTCTTTTTTACCCAATAAGAGTACTTCTGTTTATTTTCTGTATAATTGTGCTTTGAAATCAGTGACAGACAATGTGAAAACAGGAATTATTTGTTATGTACTTTAGAGGACAGAATCTCTGGGTTGTGATTTTGCAATGCTTTAATTTTGTATAATTTAGCTTGGTATAACAATGCTATAATTTGTTACATTTTAGTAGATTATATATCTCTGGTTCCTGCAGCATGGAATATATACTTTCATGTTATTCTGCAAAGAACTTTCAAGTGTTCACACTCCTAATTCAGTTTTGCTTCTAATAAAACTAAGCTTGATTGGAAAGTCCCAAAGAAAACATATGCCATATCCACCATAAAGCAGAACTTTAACCCAATTTGGATTTACTACTTTCCAGTCTAATTGCCCCTCCATTTTTTTCTGCTTTGATTATATTTCAGCCATAATTGTGGGTTTAGGTTGTGTACTGCAGCAAGCTCCCTTCCATCTCAACTCATATTTTTATAATTTTCATCTTTGACCATGCTTTCCCCAACTTTGCCAAATTCCTTCAGTGTCTTTCTTAATGGTTACTTCCTAAGAGAGAATTTTCTTTTCTTTTTTTTTTTTTTTGGGTCCGGTCATGGGGCCTGAACTCTGGGCCTGGGTGCTGTCCCTCAGCTCTTCAGCTCAAGGCTAGTGCATAACCACTTGAGCCACAGCGCCACTTCCAGCTTTTTTCTTTTTGCTTATGTGGTGCTGAGGAATAGAACCCAGGGCCTCAGGCATGCAAGGCAAGCACTCTACCACTGAGCCACCTTCCCAGCCCCGAGAGAATTTTCAACTATTAGTTTAAATCTCTGTTAGAAGCTTCTCTCACAAAGCTTTGTTGCTTCCTTTTATAACAATTTCACAACTGTAATCATTTGTGTCATTAGCTGTTCAATGTCTGTGTTCTAACTAGAATAAGATTTGTCTTATTCCTATTCACATTTTATGATGCCTACCCAGAACGAATAAACAGATACATAACTAAGTTATTAGATGAGTTATTAATTAATTGTGACATCAATGGGGCTAAGATAGGTACTTATTTTGTTCTTCCTTCCAACCTAAATATAAGTGCTCTCTCTATCTCTCTGTCTCTGTCACTCTGTCTCTTTCTGTCTCTCTGTCTCTCTCATAGACACACACACACACACACACACACACACACACACACACAAACACACACACACAAGCCTTCTGTAAATTAATGAAAGTCAGAGACTGAAATTCAAATTTCTTTCATAAAATTTGTGGAAGAATTGAAAGAGAATTTCCACCAAATAAGCTTTTAGCAATGAGCAAAAGGGCCATATCATTTCTTTGAAGTTTTAGAGATGTATGTATCTGTTTCACAGAAAGCCCTTCTTGTCTATCAGGCCTAGAAGACAGAGTCTGCTGATATAGCAAAGCCTCATTTAATGTGGATTACATTGTTGCTTTTCTCTCCCTGTAGCACAGTGGCTGCCAGCATCAATGCTTTAGCAACAGTGACCTTTGAGGATTTTGTCAAGACCTGCTTTCCCCATCTCTCTGACAAGAAGAGCACTTGGATCAGTAAAGGCTTATGTAGGTACAGCTGGTGGCTCTTCCATTCTATTTCATGAATGTACATGTGGTATGTGTCAAAATCCTACATGTGCTGTTTAGGATGCCCTAATTGGCATAGGTGGCTATCAGGATCCATGGAGAATCTCACATAGAGATTCTCACACTTTCTCAGACACCACTAGGAGGTTAATGGGGAGGAAAGACCAGCTAATTCCTTTTATACTGGTTGAATTTTCAGTCTGCTGCTCCAGACTCATTATATCCACGTTTTCTGATCACATTATGTTGACCACATTAGCCATTCTCCCTGGGGAGATGTTCTATTCAATATGGCCGTTCACTTGGTCAAATGAAGTCACAGACATTTTTCTTGTCACATTCATTTTTTAAAAAGGATTCTCTCTTAAAACCAAACACCTGGTAGCTTCATCTAAAGAATAATTGCTCCTTGTTTGATTATAGAATTTCATTTCATGATTATAATTATTGGAGCACTTATAATATTGAATTATAGTTTTATGAGGCTTACTCCTTTTTCATTGTAAATATATTGGACACTACATTTACTTAGTGTAGAAAATCCATGTAAAGTTTCTGACTATGTACATAAAATTATTTCTATCCAATTTTGTTCTTTTTTGGCTCTTGGCAAATTATAGAGAGCACTTTCATCATCAGTGTGTATTCTTTGGAAATATTGTATTTGAATAACAGTACCATATTCTGTTAAATGAAGTATTTGCTTATCATATGCTATTTTATAAATTTCTTATTTTTAAGTTCTTGAAGCACCATAATATCAATCCACATAGATAAACTTTTGACTGCGTGTTCATTATTTTATACAGTACAAATTTCCCAATGTAAGTTATAAGTTTAAATAATACTAATTTATATAATCTTCTGATGCATACTAAGAAAGATTATTTTGTAGGATCGAATCAATAGTTATATGTGATATATTTCTGTGTGTTTCATATTAAGTATGTTTGAAAATACCTAAATTAATGGGAAAAAGACATCAGCATATTTTTGGCCTTAATAATTCTTTCAAAATTTATAGTGCATTTAAATATTTTTCACATTTTTAACTCTTATTTCTCTTCTGGTGAGAGAATCTATACAAATTTTCTATGTATTTGTTGATAGAAACTTGTATATTTATTGCTTTAAATTCTCTTCATAAATACTCAAAATAAAGCCTTTGTCTCTTGCAAAGTAGCTCCTAAATTAATTTTTACAGTTTAATTTGGAAATGCAGAAATATCAATTTTATAGTTGACCAAATATATGTATCATTTTATTTTACTTCCTCTCATTTTCTACACTTATATATATTTCTTACTTAAAACCAAATTATACATTTTCATATGGAGGACAAATGCTTTTGTATTATTTAATTATTTATTTATTTTTGTCAGGTGTGAGCCACTAGCACCTGGCTGTATTTCATATTTATTATTCAATATATTTATATATTTGATTATAACTTAATATAAGGTTCTAAATTGTCATTTTATTTTATTTTTTTAAATTTATTTTATTTTATTTGTGAACATACTGTACAGAGGGGTTACAATTACATGGGCAGGATAATGCGTACATTTCTTACCAAGCATTGCAGCCTCCT